AAGAGTATTTGGTTGGGGCGCTGGTGGCGCAGTGGTTAGTGCACGCGCCCCATGTATGGAGGCTGTAATCCTCCAAGCGGGCGGCCCAGGTTTGAGTCCAGCCATGTCGTTCCCCACTCTCTCTCTCCCTGATTTCCAATTCTATCCACTGTCTTATCTCTACAATTAAGGCACAAGAAGCCCAGAAATAAATCTTGAAAAAAAAGAAAAGTATTTGGTTCGATATTTTTTGTGAATATTTCGGGGGGAAATAAGTCATTTTGACAAGTCGTATTTTTTTTATTGCTTTAGTTCATGGCAACATCTCAATCAGTTATAATTGTTAATAGAGTCACATAACCTTTTAGCTTGAAGCCCTTGAGAGGAGTTTATGACTGAATATGAGACAGACTGAAATTAATACTGAGGTCTCTTTACGACATAGTATAGCAAAGAAGACCATCAGTGACAAGACTTATTATGTCTTTTTAATAATTTGTAATGCCTGTAACTGCTGCTCTGTGGTGGTTTTCAGACGAGAGGATTTACAGCACACTGAAGAAACAGGCTTTTGTTTGCATTTTCAACAGAAATAGTCACAGTCAGTGGTAATGTTCAATGTTAAATGAAAGCAGGATTTTGTCTTTTGCCCCCAAAAAAAACATTACTTACTGTAAAATCCGGTGTATAAGACACTCTTAATATCTATTTGTTTATCTGTAAAGTAGGCTGCATCTTATACACCGGTGTAACCAATGTACCAGAATAAAAGGCAGACGGACACGCCACCATTACCACAAGTGCAGGTGCCACCATCACACACATGCACGTGACATGAAGCGATAGAAAAATTAATCCCCATCATTTTATTTTGCAAGCTGTGTTGGGATGCATAGCGACACAGACCAGGCTGACTACACTACTTTTTATCATCTTTTCTCCCTCATTAGTTCATAATCATGCATTCATAGAAAACAGTGGTATATTGTTAAAACTTTTGTAGTGCTGTTTTGACGAAAGACGAGGAGTCTTTTAAAGTCAACAAGTGATCTGCGGATGTGGGCAGCGCAACACACGGGCTATCGGTACTTCACAACTATCAAAGTAGGCTGGAGCTCAACTACCGTACTGTAGCTAGTAGGAGGGAAAACACCACACAGTGGAAACAGATGGTATTAAAAGAGTGACACAGCTGTACAGAAACCGCGCACTGTAGTCTTTGCTGAACACAATAGAAATCATCACGCAGGAAGAGAGTTTACACCTTTTTTTCTTTCTAGGAAAACCAGTGGGACTTATATTCCGGATTTTATGGCTCATGTTTACACGACAAGATCAGAGATACTGTTTAGTCCACATGGGGCGCCAAAATCAACAGAAACAGAAAGCTCCTCACAGGAGCTTTAAATCGCTCAGATTCAAGATATTCAAGTTATGCCAAAATAATAGGCAAAAAAATAAAATTGTAAGTTGTCATTACTGTATGACTATGAAAACCATTTGAATGAAAGAAATGCCATGCCTTCTGGTCAATAAAGTTAATATTTCCCCAAGCAGTCCAAGAAGAACAGCGAAGACTTTGTAAACTTTACAGAGAGTGAAGGACAGTGTGAGATAGCAAGAGTTCAGGGTTTAGCCTTTTAGAAACTAGATGATTGAATTTCTTGGCAGGGGATTCATTAAAATGATAATTCTTATTTATGAAGCCCTTTAAAAAATTAAAATACTCTCTGTGTACTGCTTCCAATTAATTAACTTTTTTTTCCACTTTCATTTTCTTTCTTTCTCCTCAGTTTTTTTCTTTACTTCCCACTGAACTTGACACACTAATAGGTTATGAATAATTCTGTTTCAGTTTAGATGGCAATTAGCCACAATGCCAGAGGCCATTCTTCTTCTGCTCTTGTGGAGTGGTGATTTAAGACCCAGCTGAGTAAGGGTGCTCCAACTGTCCCACGACTAAATCATTCACGTTTACCCACCCAGTGCTAAAACAAGAAACAGTTAACTGAATAAATCCCCTCCCATTGATAAAGTCCGTCCCTGACTACGGTGTCAGGGAGCCCTGAAACAAAGGCATGGATTTAGTCATCAAAAAGTAGAGACAAGTTCTCCGAGGCATGAAATGTGATAATGGAGCAATATTGTCACGCGGTGTCTTTTACCTCTGGTGTTCAACACAAAAAGTTCCACCATTCCTAATTAGCCATAGGACCACATGGAGAACAGCATGTCTCTTCTGCTGAAATTGATACATCAGAGGCAGGCGAAGCAGCTGTCGTTGGGGGAACTTAAATACAATAATTACAGCACAGACGGAGCAATAGGCTACAGGCACTCCTCTACGGATTGATTGAGATCACTTGGTAGCTGAAGAACAGAAATAGTGGTCCTAAGACAGAGGCAGTAAGGTTTGAAGTACATTGAGGATCCCTTTTACTAAATTCATATAACAAATGAGAAGAGATGGACATAAATGAAGCATGAATTGGGCAAAAGCCTAAGTAACTGTTTAAAATAAGTGTAAAATACAGAAAAGTAGACGGTAAGGACACAGTGCAAACATCTGCCAATGCTTAACACTGAAGGTGCTTGAGGTGGGTGCAGATTCTCAAGCCCTTTCCAGCCCCCCCTGCCCACCAGGTATTCTGTAATTCTAAGTATTTATGAAACAAAAGGGATACTATTAAAAGTCATGAAACTGACTTTTACACTCCAAAAACTTGATGATGATACTGGTATATTTTGTCAACATAATTATAATTCAGTGCCCTTATTCATGACAACCTAGGGTTCTTGTTGGGTACTTTGATTGGTTGGTTATTATAATTAGAAGTTGCCATTAGGGATGAAATTGACTGAAGTGAATATAACAGTTTCTACTCAAGCTGTACAAAAAGGTGTGATTTGATTACACAGTTTGTTGTTCTAATGCAAAATCCCCAGACTGCTAAACAAGCTTGCTCATCTTTTTAAAATTTAATTCCATTTTGTTCTGTGTGCTTCAAGCAAACTAAAGCTACAGTTGCTAGTCAGCTGCTAGTTAGCAGTTGTGTATAGCGATTTCCATAGTTACATTAAGGTAATCTCCTTGACTGGCGTTAACTCTAGCCAGTGCAACAGCAATGTTTGGTAAGAATTAAAGTCGATGACTTCTGTGTTGTACATAATTTAATGGGCCTGTGCTTTGGCTTTCCTTTTATTGACATTCAATTCAGTTTTATACCCGGGATAATTCAGACTCATTAAGCACCTACTACTAAGACTTCAGCTGCTGTGCACAGCAAAAAGACATCATTCCAATCAACCTGAATTTTTCTTTGGATCAGTTTCCTGAACCTGCTTCCAAAGCCCTCAGATTTGGCATCAAGTCTTCTTCTGTTGGGTTTAAAGTTTAAGGAATCAATAACCTAATAGCAGACAAAATGGATGATGATGTTAAAAAATCATATTCAATGAATGGTTCCCTAGATCAAAACCTCTGAGTTCACAAAACTTTAGGAAAATGTATTAATTTATTCTTCATGTCATACACACAGACAGGGTGAGAAATAGAAAAGTAGCCACTGGGTAAAACACAAATAAATAATCATAATGATACTGTATCATCCTGAAATATCACCTCTGTGGGAAACAACTTTCATATTTATTTGGCATGTGTGATTAATCAGTTTGTTGCCTGTAGTGCCATTGTTTCCTACCTCAGAGCCATCATCCATCCCAGTGGCATGTCATCTTTCTAATGTTTTCACACAAAACCTCGACATGCAGCAGAAAGCAGCGCTGACGGCTACTATCACATTTGTACCAGGCTTTATGTGAGACAACTGATGACCCATCATCAATTTACCATTCATTTATCTTCCAACACAAGCTTGCTAGAACCTTTATGTTTTCACCACCACAAACATAATGAGATGTTTGTGGTGGTAGGTGTTGTTTTTACAAACTTTGGCACACTTTGCAGTTTTGGTACAGCGAGAAAAGACAACAGCACTCAATATACATCCACAATATTTGTAGGAGCTCACCTATCCATATTCCTTAGACAGGCACAAACACTGGCCACCATGGGTCAGCAGAAACAACAAAAACTTACATCATATCAGTTTGACATAACACAAGGGGAACACTAACTTGCTAACTCACATATATTTACACATCCAACGATTACATCGCAATATTGACATTCCTATGGACTGGTGATACTGGACACCTGCAACAGGTTGTACGAGTTATGCGTACATTTAAACGTTGCCTAGTTTGAACTTACTGCAGAATTTACACACTATTAGTTGTTGCACCAGCTGAGATAGTTCCAAAAAAGGCCACTCATAATGGGGGACAAAGGGGGAAAGGTTTACTGGGCCCATGGAGTTTAGTGAAACGTCCATATTTAAAGCAAAAATGACCAAATTCGATTCTACTCCTAAATACTCTCATAAAACGACAAAAACACACATGAACAGGCTGGAAGGCTAAACAAAAAAGCAAAAGCTTAATATAATAGTATGTAAAGGCAAAGGGGGCTACAGACTGAGTTTATAATTCTCCATGGGGTCATGACTAATACGAAAGAGTGACCTCTTCATAATGTGATTAGAAGTTACATATTTCAAATGCTAGCTCATTTAGAATATAAGAACCAAGCAAATATTACATTTGCCAATGAATACAATTCCTGTTACATTACTCAACACACTCATCTTGGGTTTTTTCTTTGTTGTTCCATCATTTTTGAAATATTCCTCCTCTAGCACCTCACCTACAACTTGAAAGCTCAGACTCTTTCAGTGATCAAGAAGGCTTTGTCTCCAGCCTGCAGGTCTGCACAGCATCAAGTTTTTCAATCATTGTCATGCTGTCCAATGTGCTGACTTTGAACTGTTTCTCGACATGAACCCATGTTCCAACAAAGCATCCTGCTTTAACCAGAAACGCATTGAAGATTCAAAGCAAGGCACCGCTGAAAGGATGTTACCTTGCTTTGGAAATATAAAAAGTGCAGTGATGGTACTCACACATAACAGTAAGAAAAACATTCCCTGAAGCAAGGACAACCTTCTCCCTCGTTGCCCGGTCGTAGATGCCAACATGGCATTCGTAAGGCCCGTTGTCTGAGATCCGTACCTCTGGGAGCCTGTAAGAACAAGAGTCATTGTGTTATTTTAAACTGGTTTAGCATTTTAACATAACTGAAAAAGCGAGGCAAAAAGACATTCATTTAGATATCACAAGTCACAAGTTAAAAAAGAAGCATTTACTACAAGGAATAAAGAGTTGAATTCAAGTAAATCAGTCCTCAGACACTTGACTCCTTAAACTTGGAACAGTAGAGTGGATCTTTACCTCTCCACTCATTAAAACTACAAGTTTGCTGTAATCAATAATTGCTGTAATCCCATAGTGTCAAAAGGTACTCAGAGGAGTAACTCCAAGGAAGTCATCAAATGTAATCTGAGTTTATGCCTAAAGGCGTTCCACAGGGTTCCGTTCTGGGCCTTATTTTATTAACAATCTATATTAACAATATTGTTTCGTCTATAACAGACTATAATATCCATCGTTATGCGGACGATATTGTACTTCATTGTTCTGCATTGTTCTACAGCTTGCTGTAGAGAAAAACTGCAATTTGCTTTTAATAATCTTCAGAATGCATTCATCAGCTTAAGACTGATCCTTAATGCCAGCCAGCAAAACCAAGTACATGATCTTGACCAAAGCCTGAGATATTGATTTTAACAGTTTACAGTTATCCACACTCAGTGGCAGCAGTATTGAAAGGGTCACAGTATATAAATATCTTAGAAGTTGGCTGGACGAATAATTTACATTATATTATGTGGAAAATATCACTGGCAAACTTTGGCAGAAACTTGGGTTTCTGTACAGAAACAAATCTAACTTCCATCCTGATTGTAGGTAAAGTATTGTTAAAGCAGTCTTTATATCAGTCCTTGACTATGGCGATACCACCTATACGTGCATCTGCTTCGACTCTTAAAACCCTGGACTCAGTTCATCACTCTGCTCTTAGATTCATATCTGGAGACCCCTATAACACTCATCATTGTATTCTCTTTAACAAAATGGTTGGTCTTCTCTGGCACAGAGACGTGATACACACATGTATCTCTTATTGGACATACACCAACTTAGGACTGGAATACCATAACTTATGGTATGACTTCATCAAGATCTCTTTCAACTCTTTATGTACACTTATTGACAGTGGTAAGATAAGTCGCTGTTTGTTTGAGAGAGTCAAAAGTCTTGGGAGAGCTGCCACTAAAAAGGAGCCCCAGGCTGGTTACTCTCCATTGTGTTTTCATGCAGTGAAGTTGAGGCATTCTTTATTGATTGTAAACACAAAGTGATACCAGTTAGGGGTGAGGGAGATGGTTTGAGGTTAAGTTTGTCATCTGTCTTTTCCCTGGAAAGTTAGAGAAGAGTTTATATTGTTACATTTTAAGAATCCTTGGGTTTCGACCAGTTCATGAGTGTAGTACTGTGAATGGAGAGCTGTGCGGATTGTTAGTTTAGCATCGAGTGAACCAAAACAGGAGCTGCTTGCTTAGCGTTGGAAAAACGGTTAGAAGGGGAAGTGGTGGTATCTGTTGTGAAATGAAACTTGCCATAGTGTTTGATTATCTAGAGTTAAGTTAACTTGATGCTGGGCAATTTCTTTAAAACAATTTAGTCAAATATACCAAGGTTGACTTTGTCTTCAGTGCATGATCTTGATACATGTCACAATGTTTTGCTGAATAAATCTGTCATTAAAAAAACTGTTTTAAAAAAGTTAGCTAAAGTACGGAAGAGTAAGCAGCTCAAGATGTAAAGTGTTGTTATCTCCAGCAGAGCTTCCTCGAGGGATAAGTGCAAAACAAGTGAGTCTTTTATTTCACCACAGCTCAGAATGATGAAAATAGCACGGTGAATCACTCTGTGGTGGGAGCTGGGGGAGGTAATTGGCTTTGTCTTGGACGGCTACATCATAGTAAACGCTGATGTAGCCCGTTGCTTTGTTTGTTTTTTTTAAACAAAGACGTAGTTCTGTTGTGCACAATCCCAACTACTGCATTCACAGATTCAGACCAAGACAAGCGCAGAGAAAAGAACCCAGGGATAAGATCATTGAAGGCTTGGAAGTAGGTATTTCCGGAAGAAAGGTGAGGAGGCCAGAAAGAAATCCCAAACCTCAGCATTTCTGAATGACTGCCTGCCAGCCCAGCCGCCGAAGCATTTTACTCCTGTTCCAGAAAAGACATATCCATCAAAATTAGGAGAAGAAAAAGACGGAAGGTTGTACTCCTAACATTGAGACTTTAGTTAAATATTAAGACTGGCGGAATTAAATTTGCACCCTTCTAATCTTTGATGACATGCATTTCTGAGGTGCTAGTCCATTGGGAATCTGTTCACAAAAAGCAGGAACGTGCAACTCTTTTGTTTGTGCTCTTTTTCTCTCTCCTATTCACTATTTATGGGTCAGCTAACGCTTGAACGCTTAATTTAAAAGACATTACCATTTAAATCTTACAAAGCCCATAATATACCACATATTACAGATTTCTTTCTTTGTGATTATTACTATGATTACTTTAAATCAAGGCTACTGCTGACTGTGCCACACAGCTATAAACATGTAATTTGTTCCATTAACTGGCAGTGTTGAGAGCACTTCAGCAAGGTGTTAAATATTGATTTGAGGGGTAACTTTAATATACTAGTACTGGATTTATCCGCAGAGTGCAATATGCAATGCATGATACCTGTCCATCTTTGTGTAATCATATATTTCACAAACAATCCCCATTTTAAATTCCACTTAACCTTCTCCCTTGGCCTCCTGTGAAATGAGTTTCTTCCTCATGCCTCGCTCTTTCATCATATTTTCTTATGAATTTGATTCTTTTGATAAAAGTTGTGAATGCTGGGGCGCTGGGGGCGTAGTGGTTAGTGCACGCCGCGCCACATTTGAATCCGACCTGTGGCTCCTTTCCAGCATGTCATTCCTCACTCTCTCTCTCTCTCTCTCTCTCTCTCTCTCTCTCTCTCCCAGATTTAAGACTGTATCCACTGTCTTATCTCTCCAGCAAAGGCACAAAAAGCCCCCTCCAAAAGAACTATTTTATGCTAGCTTTGACCTGCAGCATTACTGCACTCTGGCTTAGCCCCAACACCACCCCAGTATCCACCTGTAGGCTCCGACTACGTGGGGTTTAAGATCTCATCACATCACTCCTCAAATGTCTGCATGTAAAATAAAACTGCGAGGAGTGATGAGGTCAGAGCCTAGACGCCAAACACAAACTATGTTCTGCTGCAATAAATATTTTAAACAAATACAAACATGCAGTTGTCTGACTGAACTATATGCAACTAGAAAATGAACTCTTTAAACTCCACTTATCCTTCCTTTTGGCAATAAAACTTCCCCTTTAAATATTTTTTCTTTCTTAGGTCTTTTGTCATTGTTTTGGCACAGGCAAAAATTAAACTTAACAGGAGTAACAGTACAATACATTTACAAACGTCACAAGTCAAACCAGGCAAATGTTAAAAATACATGATAAACTAAAATACATGAAATTCCCCTATAAGTCATTCCACGGGTAAAGTGATTATAACTTTTTAAGGGTGTGTGGCCATGTTTCTTCCAAATGACTTTGCAATGTATTTTTTAACAAATAATAGTCTCAGATTTGTTATTCTATTTATTATCTGATGAATGTTAATCTTTCACTGAAAGACTCTTGAGCAGGCAACAATGGTTGTTTGGTAAATTGTTCTACACAAAGCTTTTTTTTTTTCATGGGTTATTGTCTCTTTTCATACATTACAAATAATTTTCCCTTTACTTAGTTTTTTAAATAATGCAACTTTGTGAACAGGGTTTTATTAAGAGCTAATTAGTAATGATCAGTGACGCTGGAACAAAAAAACAAACAGTAAGATAAAAAGCTAATAAGAAAGGAAAAGGTGGATGTTGGAACAAGAATATAAACTGCAAAAATATTCAAACCACTTGCACAGCCTTCCAAACAAAATTTAATATCAGTACAATTTCTTTTACAACTAAGTGACTAGGTTATAGAACAAACAAGCAATTTCCTGCAAACCATGTTAAACACACCACAAAACCCCCACTGTGCACCAGAAAGAAAGAAAAAAACAGCACATGCACGCTGAGGATCAATAGCTATGGGCCCCCATGGAGGAGTAGCAAAAACAACACAGCAAAGAGAGATTGATTGTCCCCTAGGAGTTGCATCTGAAAGCTCTTTGCTGTTATGTAGGCCTTCCTGCAGAACTCCTCCTGCCTACAAATGCAAGCAAATGCTAGCGCCTGGCTGGATGGAGGGTGAAAAAGAGGAGTCCTGACAGAGCGCCGTCTGATAGCTCATCCAGTCAATCTCTGCATCAAATTAACTAGCACATTGTCAGATACTCCTTCTGGCCTGAAGCATTACGGTTGAATGGGTCAGGACGGACGACTGTAAGTCAGTATACGCTGGATGGAAAGCAGAAGACAAATTGCCTGGAGCTCTGAATGCAAAGAGAGGTGTGTAATCAGCCATGTTTCCTAAAGGAATGAGTGAGAAACAAAATGATGGGGATCATGCTTTGATTCTCTGAGTGCCGAGGGAGGTGTGATTGGCTTTGTGCTGGCTGGTTACATTATAGTAAGTGCTGATGTAGCTCATCTCCCTGTTTCTTATCCACAAAGCTGTGGTTCTGTTGTTTGCTCTCCCTAAGCTCTGTATTCATGGATACAAATCCATGGAAATGCAAAGAAGAGAGCTTGGTGGAAAAAAAAAAAATAGAAAGCATGGAGGTATTACTGGAAGAAGAGTAAGAGCGCATGAATAAATCTCACCAAAAAAATGTTCTGCTGATTACAGAAGCTCTAAAAACCTCTTTAAATGTGCATTAAATGGGTTACATTTTACTTATTCATAACCAATTAAAGAAACAAAGATTTCACTTATCTCTCCTTTAGAAGATTCATCAGAGTACAAACATACATACTTGTTATTTTACACCTAATAAAATGACTCAGCATTTGCTATACAGTAGGTCGCCTATAGAGCTCAGCAGTAACAGCCCATTTTTTCAGTGGCTCTGGTTCCA